CAGATTAGGAAACTAAGGTCAAGAGAATTTAAGAAACTGCCCACGAATTTAGCCTGGGTTGCTTTGTGACTTTCAGACCCACACTCTCTACAGGGCCATGGTGCCTTCCTCTCACTAATACTCATGCGTTCCAGATGACCTAGTATTATTTTTTGGTTATTTACCAAGTATCAGACATAAAAATATATAAGCTTGTAGTATATAATGTGAACCAAACTAAAACTTAAAAAAGGAGCCCTATATTTGTAAATATAGATGTAATTTTTATTAAAGAGAATTTGACTTATATAATAAGTCCAGCCCCTTAAGAGTTATAGGTCATATGATAACTGACTCTAACTAACTTAGTCACAGCCCTTTCAGATTTTTTCTATTAAATAATTTATCTGTTTTCCTCCTGTGATTTCACAGCACCTTAATCCACAGAGCAGATTCTTTCGGGTGGCCAATCCAGCAGTTTTTCTCTGCAGTTTTCCTTGAGCCTTCCCAAGAAATGTGTCTTATATATTCCTGAAATGGTTACTTATAGGCATGTCTTTAATAATGTCTTTCCCATTCTGTAATAATTCAATAAAACTGAGAAATATTATTCATTGCTTTAACTGCTGTGCTATTCAGCTTAAAGTCTGACTTTCAAATATGCCTTTAGGTTATCTAGTATAGCCCTTTATTTCAGATCTGCTACTGATGTATTCTATTACTAAACAAGAGACCATTCATTCTATAGACCTCCTAATGTGTCAGGCACTGTATTCTAGGGAACCCAAAGACAAGCCATAGACCCTACCCTTGAAGAAACCATTTGCTACTGCAACAGAGATCGGGTCTCCCTCTCAAGCATCTCACAATCATCTCCCCAAATCTCTTCTTGATTTGGGCTGTAAAATTTATAGAATTATAAACCTAAAATCCTAAACCTACTTTGGAGCTGAGAAGCAATTTCATTTTACTTAAATGATGATCCAGAAGTCACATAGCAAGACTTGAATCCAAAACTTCCAACTCCCAATCTGATATCGTTTCTCCAGCCATTTATCCCATTAGTTTGTCACTGTCATCTTCCTTCCCCCATCTCATATACAGGATGGTCTAAAGGCCTAAAAATGGGTCAAAGACCCCATTATAGTTGTTCACCATCAAAAGTGAAAGCATAGGTTCTTATTTTTAAACTGGGAATTAGATTATAAAGGAAAAGTGATCTCATAACTATGTAGAGAACAACAAGTTACATAACTCTATCTCATCCATCTAGGCTCGCTGTATTGACACTTAGAAAACACAACCAGGGAATATTTTTGTCTTTGTGGTTTTCCTGCACTGACATGCATAGTCTTATAGTAAAACAAAATTCTCTAACCTCATAGACTTTACATTCTAGTAGAGAGAAACAAAATAAGCTTTATTTTGGACTTCTGGTCAAGATGGCGGAGTATGTAAACATGATACTCACATTCTTCCATGACCGCATCAAAACTGAATTACAGAAAAACCATCATGGAGAACCAGCTGAAGACTAGCTGCACAGAGTCCTATAACTAAAGATATAAAGAAAAGCCAAGCCACGACTAGGAGGAGGGGTAGAAAAGTGAAATGGGCAGGTCCCACACCCACTGTGTGGTGATTCATAATCAGGAGGAATATCTCAGCTGCAGAGGACACCTCCTGGCTCCCCAGCCCCATGCTCCAGTGTGAAAAAGAGGAGTTGCCATAACATCTGGCTGTGATAACCAGTGGGAGTTGTGTCCGAGAGGGAAAGCTGCTGTAGATCCAGGCATTCCTCTTTATAGGCCTGTACAAAGACTCGCTCAGGGCATATGCAGCAGCTCGAAAAGCTCCAGGGGCACAGAGTGAGGAATTAAATTTACTAGCTTTAGGGCAGGGGTCATGACAGCTCACGCCAGAGAAACGTGACACTGTTCCTTTGCTGCGCCCTCCCTCTACTCAACTGATAGGTGCATGTGATCCCCAAATCTAAGCTCTCCATTAACCTGGCTAACACTTTCCTCCCCACCCTGGTGATTCCAAGACACCACCCAATGCCTGCACCTCTTTTATGGATTTTCCACAAAAGTGGCCTGCCTCAGCTCATGCTACAGACTTTCCTAAAATGTCTTAAAGATCCACAAACCCAAAGCAAGTAGCAGCAGCCTCAGTGTGCCCTGTACCTCTTGCTAAACGGTCTCAAGCCCAGCAGGAGTGGAAACCAGTCTCAGCTTGCACTGTAACTCCGACCTGGTGACCCCAAGCCTGGTGTAGTGGTGGCCAGTCTTAGCTTGAAATACAGCTTCAATTAAGCAGCCAAAAGTCCATTACAAGTGCCAGGTGGCTTCAGCTCACAAAGTGCTCCAAATCTAGAACTAGTGGCAGCCAGCCTCAATGCTAGCATAGCCTCTCCCAAACTCCTTCAAGCTCAGCACAAGCAACAGCAAATGGCAAAATACAACCTACCAAATGGGAGAAGATACATCCAATAAGGGATTAACATCCAAAATATATAAGGAATTCATACACCTTAACACCAAAAAAAAACAAATGGTCCCATTAAAAAATGGCCATAGGACCTGAACAGACATTTCTCCAAAGAGGATATACAGATGGCCAATAGACATGAGAAAATGCTCATCATTACTTACCAGGAAAATGCAAATTAAAACCACAAAGAAATATCACCTCACACCTGTCAGAATGGCTATCATCAATCCACAAACAACAAAAAAAGGGAACCCTGTGTACTGCTGATGAGAATGTAAACTGGTATAGCCACTGTGGAAAACAGTATGGGAGTTCCACATAAAATTTAAAATAGAACTACAATATGACCCAGCAATTCCACTTCTATTTATCCAAAGAAATCCACACTTAATTCTAAAAGATACATGCACCCCTATGTTCACTGCAGCATTATTTGCAACAGTCAAGATATGGAAGCTGCCTAAATATACATTGACAAATGAATGGATAAAGAAGATGTGATACATATATACAATATATATATATATATTACTTGGCCGTGAATAAGAATGTAATCTTACCACTTGTGATAACTTGGATAGTCAGAGAAAGACACGCACACTTATATGTGCAATCTAAAAGATGAACAAAACAAACTCACAGATACAATGAACAAATTGATGCTTGCCAGATGGGAAGGGGTTTGCAAGGATGGCTGAACAAGATGAAAGGTATTAAGAAGTATAAATTGCCAGTTATAAAAATAGTCACAGAGATGTAAAGTGCGGCATAGGGAATATGGTCAATAATACTGTAATAACTATGTATTATTCCTGGTGAATACCAATTTATCAAAGAGATCACTTTGTAAATTATATAAATTTCTAACCATCATGCTGTACACCTGAAACTAACAAAATATTGACTATCAACTGTAATTGAAAAATAAAAATTAAATTTTCTTTAAAAAGTATAGATTTCCAATTATAAAAATAGTCATGGTGATGTAAAGTACAGCATAGGGAATACAGTCAATAATACTGTAATAACTGTATGGTATCAGATGCCACTAGACTTATCAGAGTGATCACTTTGTAAGTTATATAATGTCTAATCACTGCATTGCACACCTGAAACCTATATAATTGTTTTTTTATTGTGTATTATATATTTGTATATAGTATTATATATTAACTGTAAGTGAAATATTTTTAAAAGTTTCAGTTACACCAGAAACAAAAATTTTTAATAAAAAAAAATAAGCTTTATAGTATGTCAGATGGTGATAAGTACTATGGACCCACAAAATGGACTAACTGCAGGGGTCTAAGAGAAGGAAAAAGGAGATTAAGAAGGAGACTCTTGCAATAGTGCAGATGAGGCAGGATGGCTTTTAAACCAGAGATATCAGTGGAATGATAAGAAGTGTCATCTTTGGATTATGTTTGAAAGCAGACTGAACAAGATTTCCCACCAGCTTGGATATTGGATAGAAGTATAAGAGAAAAGTAACAGCCAACCCCCAGACTTTGGGCATGAGAGACTGGAAGGACAGAGTTGCCCTGTGCTCCAATAAGTCATGGAATCAACAGTGTCTCATCATTTTATGTGGTTGGGGAAATACAACATAAATGAGAAAGAAATATCTCCCTCAAAGTGCCACCAGTCTAGCAGACAAGAAAGACAAATACATATACATAATCATAATACTTATTGGTTATTATTATAGAGGGTCTCAACAAAGTGCTGTGAAAGCACATAAGAGATAACAATTATTTCTAGCCAGGGAAATGAGGCAAGACTTAAAAGCAGAAGTTGTATATGAGCCTGTTTTGTCATTCTTGAGTTTGGCATTATATGATTTGAGTTTAGAAAGATATATATTCTCACAGGGTTAGAACAATCAGAGTAAACCAGACTGGCAGTAATTTTTGTTTCCATCTCAGACCATAGTTATGCATGACTAGCCGGAAAGAATAGTCAAAATCAAGTATTCTTTCCAACCTGACCTATACATATATATGTATATATTTATACATATATAGCAGGTCCTCAAATAATATAACTTCATTCAACATTGCTTTATTATAATACTGATGAGATGCCATGGTAACTTCACTCTTATTTATATCAGCTTATGGTAAAATTGGTTTCATTATATAGTTAACCCTTGAACACAATGTGGACTGTGTACTTCTATTTATACGTGGATATTTTTCAATAAATATGTACAATACTGTAAATGTATTCTCTTATAAATTTCTTAGTTTTTTTCTCTAGCTTATTGTAATACTACAGTATATAATACATATAACATGCAAAATATATGTTAATCAAATGTATATGTGTAAACAGTAAAGCTTCCTGTCAATACTAGGCCATTAGTAATTTTGGGAGGATCAAAGTTATATGTGGATTTTCAACTGCACAGGGAGTCAGAGCCCTAACCTCCGCATTGTTCAAGGGTCAACTGTAGGTCGTTTTGCCACAGTTCCAAGAACCTATTGATGACACTGTGAAGACTTACTATATATTATTTTCCATTGCAGGAGCTTTCTTCCTCTATGCTGGATTTGCTGCTGTGGGACTCCTTTTTGTCTATGGCTGCCTTCCTGAGACCAAAGGGAAAAAATTAGAAGAAATTGAATCACTCTTTGACAACAGGCTATGTACGTGTGGGGCTTCAGATTCTGATGAAGGAAGATATATTGAATATATTCGGGTGAAGGGAAGTAACTATCATCTTTCCGACAACGATGCTTCTGATGTGGAATAATTTTCAACTGCTGATATATCTGGTTATTTAAACAAACTTGTGGGGAAAGAGCAGCAATTGGTGACCTCACTGCCCTGCTTCTAATCTGATTTTTTCCACAGTCTAGTTTTGAATAGCTTCATGTTCTAGAATATTTGATTAGGAGGAAGATACAACCAAGATGACTTTTTGTTTTGTATAAGCAGAAATGTACAAAAAATATTTACAGAGATTTTAAACTAATAATTATTGAACAAATGTGTGTAATTCCTTCCTGAAATAATCTAAAATGAATATTGTATCCAGTGACTTCAGTGCTATCCTTTTTTCTGAAAACCATATGTAATTATTAGTGGCAACTGAGTCAGTGCTAATCTAGCTGAATCATATATGTATGATATACTTATAATGCAGGATTCTGGAACATGTTCCAAAGGTGTTTTCTGTCAAACATGGTCTATTGGCACTAAATTTTTCTAAGCAGAAGTATCTTATCTGTGATCAGCTATTAGAAAGTAAATTCCATTAAGCTTTCACCAACAAATTCAAAAGTGCCTCCTACAAGGGCACAGCTGTCCTTATCTCCTTTGGATTCCACATTTTGGTTTCTCTCTCCAATTCAGATCTTGAGAGCTCTTCAGAAACTGACTACACAGGATCTTTTGAATATTATGAAAAGCAGGTCTTTTAAGGTATATTTTCATACATATTTTTTTGGATCAGTGATAAGTGTACATTTGCACAGATAAGCTAGCAAGTTTTGATAAGTATATTTTATTGCTAGAAAGTCAGAAAGAAAAAAGATTTTTATGGATCTCTAATTAAGTTAGTCACTTAGGTATTCAACTGTGAATACAAATAGTACTAGATCTTCAACTGCATTTCAGGGTCAGTCTTTGTTCTTACTCAAATCATCTGATATTCACCATGCCTTCGCTCATCAACTCTGGAGTCCTACTATTTGTGCCTTCATTTGTGTTATATAAATAGCTGCTAGCAGACTATTTTCCCCTTCTTTTATTCAAATAATTTCTGGAACGAAGAAGAAAATCAGTGACAAATAATCCTATTATTGATATTTGTTAAATAGTGGGACTTATTTTTAATTTATTTTAACTTTTTATTAACTCTTCCTATGGGAATTGATATATTTTTTTTTAACTTAATAGTACTTGTCCTTTTTTACTGTAAGGGCATAAACTAGTTTTTATTTTGCATACCTCTTCTCATTTTCCCTGATAATTTACCCTCCTCCACCCTAAACCCCCCCAGAAATACACAAATTTGTCTATAGGTGTTTTTCTCATGCTTGGTTTGGATTTTCCTTCTTATCTAAAAATTGGAATTTTTCTATTGGAACAAATTAATGATTCTCATATAGCACATATCTTTAAGAAATGTTGACTTACTACATTTCTACAATGTCTTTTCAAAGTGTTCATTGGTTTTTATGTTTACTCATCAATGAACTCTAATTTTTGCTCTTATATTAAGAACTATATAGTATGTACAAATTTACTTACAAAATTGCTTGCTAGTTCCAGTGAAAATATTAATGACTCTTCTGTGGCCAGTTAGAAATGCATAAGTTTAATGCATTTTAACATGGCTCTAAACATCTAGTATGGTACTCTTTTGAAGTGAAAAGGTGGCTATCTCTAAATTCGATATGTTTCTGCCAATCTCCAAGATGTTTTTTTTCCCTCTAAGTCTAGTTTGTTCATATCTACTGTCAAAGCTGAAAATGTAGCCAAGAGGTTCATTCTCTAAGCCACCAGGGATAAAAGTGTTTCAACAGTCACTTTACTGGCCTAAAAAATTTTCTGCCTTTGATCATTACATATAATAAAAAACATTATTTTAAAGAGTTTTTTTCCTTGAATTAGGTGCTTTGGCAATTAATTTCTAAGGAGATATTAATATTAATTTGTCTCATAAAAGCAGATATAATTTCATAGAGTAAATTATTCTATGGCTATTTCTCATCCCATAAGAAATTTCTTATCTGTGTAATATTTCACACATATAAAGTGGAAAATGAGCTATTATGTATTAAAATAAGATTATGATGGGGAGAAAAATTATTTAGACCAATAAAGTACTATCTTTCAAAATATTTCTGATTTATCCAAATAATTGCCTCAGCCCGTCTTTATCATATACATAGCCTTAACTCAGCTGGGCTGAATGCACAGTAACTTTATTAAAGGAGGAACTTGACTTTGTAAAGCAGAACAAGGCCTGTTCTCCCTGACATAAGCAAAGAGTGTTTTAAATTTTATATCCATAAATGCACATAACAGGGAAAATTACCCACAGTTCAACCTCCTCTATTCTCTACAACCCCTTCTTTAAAGGACTATTTGTTATTTATATAGTGATACATATAATAATGCATATCTTTGAAGTACAGAACAGAGGCACAGTGTAAGAATTATTTATAATTTTAAAAAAATAAGTACTTGAAAAGGAACCTTATACAGTTAGGGTATTATTTTTAGATTCGGTGAAAGACATTTATAGTATATAAAAAATTTAATGTTTGAATTTTGCAGGTATTTTATATTATGCGCCTTTTAAGTTCTCAATGTCTTTGGCTACCACTATGAACTTGAAAACATTCCATTTGAAATATCATCAAATATATATATATGGTATGGTTTAACCTACCATATTAAAAGGCATTAAGCATCGTGTTTTAAATTGACATTATAGGTTTGCTTCTAAACATGCTGTAAATCAATGGAGGTATACTATGTTTTAGGAAAATATAGTGAAGAAAGTTGTAACCTCTATTGAGGCTTAGCTGGATAGCTGATGAGATCTGTACTGGACTTAAGAGAATATAACACTGCATCTGAACATTAGATCTGAATGTGATGTCAGACAAGTTTTAAAGATTTGGAACTAACAGTTTTCTTCAACATAAACATTCTTAATAATTTTGATTGTTGCGCCTCAGTCAATAATTACCCAACACATGATTTTTAATGTAAATGTAAAAGATCCAAATTAAAACTAGATTTAAAAGGTAATATTCTGATTGAAATTTTGTTCCAATCATATGCTATGTGCTTTTTAATTATTTTACCACTGAACCAGATTTTAGTATATTAATCTAAATATTATTTTTTAATTTATTCACTTTAAAATCAGAAATCCATTAGAGCAAAGAATTTAGAAATTGTTTATTGTAATTTCAAAATCAGTTATCCAGAGGAAGAATGAACAAGAAATATGTAAGCTATCAACTTACTCTTTTTCTTTTTCATCAGAAAGTAAAACTGAAATGCATTATATATAATCTATAGATTCTGAAAGGATATTCTAGAAAATACTATCTATGTGTTATCTAAGAAAAATCTCACAATGCAGACAATATACAGTTTATAAATACTATGATACAGTGAGGAAACCTGGAGGATTGTTTTGATTTAATTTCATCGACACACTAAGAACAATAAAAATTAATGAGATATTTTGTTATAATCAGATTTAACATTCTCCTACTTATAAAATCTCAAATTATACTAAGCACCTAACTGACATTTACACAATTTTTGTGACAAGTTGTCAATTACCAAATTCAGACCTTTTCACTAACAACAAATAAAATAATGACTCACGAGGTCAGGAACAGATAATTTATAATATGTGCTTTATACTAAAATGTGTTAACTTGTGGATAAAATTTACAGCTCATGTGTAACTGCTGCCTATAAAAAGACTCAGAATTGTCCTCTAGATTAATTTTAATGTCCCATTTTCTATCACTTTCTATCAGTTTTCCTAGCTTCATGTACAGTAATGTGAAGCTCATTGATGAAGTGATTCAGGTTGTAGCAGCATATCAACTGTCAGTATATTCAGTTCTGGGTGAGCAATATTGCTGCTATTTTCTAGAAATAGCAATCATTTAAAAATGCCAAACAAACAGCTAACTGCTACCAACTCTCTTGTATGTTGTCTCTTACAGAAGGAAATTTGTGTGTTGATAGTCATCAGAGAGATATTTTGTAAGGGTGTTAATGATGTCCAGAAGTACATGAAAGAATTGTATTCTCATAATTTGCTTGTGAATGTAAAACAATAATAATTCCTATAAATCTTTATATAAAATCTTTATATAAAACTTGAGTGATCTGGTCTATAAAATGTTAAATGCATACCTTCATTTAGTAATAATATTCAGATTTTTATTTTAGGCAGTTAAATTCATGTTTTTTTGGTCATAGCAATATAAATGAGAAAAAGAAATGCTGATTATAAGTACTTAAGGTAAAAACAAATATTTTGTAAAGATTTAAAATTTTAGCAAATTTTAATAAGACTCAAATATCATTTCATCTCATGTGAAAGTTAAAAAAAAAGATGAGACTTAACTCTAGCCAAAGTAGAAAATATATATTCTACATGTCCAAATGGTTCCTAGCAGCTTTTGGACTATATCTCACTTAATATTACAGTATCTTTTATTTATAATAAATGTTCAAATTTCTAATTAGTTCTAATGTACACCTAGATTAAATCAAAAGTTTTATGCTTTTAAAATGTTTTCAAAATGTATATTTTAATTTCTTAGTGCATGGCATATAGTGTTTAATATTCACATCTTAGCAAATCCAATATATTTGTACATGTGACATATAGGATATCTCTTCAAAATTATGAATATGTATCATTTCCTTCAGTCATTCTAGCCTATAGCTATATCGAAAATATTGTATATTTTATGGAGATTTAGTGATGTATATGTAAATGTTTTTAAGTTATTTTATTGAAGTTCAATCTTTACATAAAATTAAAATCTTTTTTTTTTTTTTAAAGTGTCAGTGCCAGAACTGTAAATGAAAATAAATAAAAGTTAAGACAATTCATGACTCATTTATCTCCCCTGCACTTTTGTATTTTCTCTTCCACAGATTTTAGGCACTAGGCTACATAGTAAAATCATCTATATATTTATGCAGGCTTATTCATATTAATGATATTTTACTTATTTTGATCATGGGTAAAATCAACTATCTTTTAAAAATTTCATAATACCTAAAAGTTGTTCTAAGTAATTATTCTAAGTAATAAATATAAAACTGAAATGAAGTACTTATGAACCCTTGAGATATTATTTCTGGTTGTTGTTCAGAACCAGATGTTGAAATCAACCATTATGACTGGCTGACAAAAATTATTTTTGGTTGTTGCTTTGTAAATGAGAATACTTGCTGTATGATTAGCTAACAGTCCTTTTGGAACTTTTGGTTGCTCTCCACTGCCATTCAGCCACAACCATAGCTTTTATTAGTAAGCATCATATTATTGTTTGATCTGGGCAGCCACTAGACTTACCTCCTCAGTGAGGATATGCCATCCTGAGCCCAACTATAGAAATAGTCCGAGGAGATCCTCTGAAGACACTAGATCCACTGTCATTCAAAGGCTTACAGCGGAGTTGCATTTTAACCAAGGATTCTGATGTCAGCAGGTAAGGCAAAAATCCTACACGAAAATGATCATAAATTATGCATAAAGTGCCCACTCACCTGGACAACTGAATAGTGTAGTATCAGTGGTCAGAAAAGTCCTCATTTAATTGTCCAATCCTGTGAGGTAAAGGTCATCCTTTTATGAATATTAAAACAAGCTGAGAACATTTTGGTAACTTACCCAAGATCACACACTAGGAAATAGTACAAAATCTCTCTACAGTGACTACTCCAACAGTCTTCCTCTTGGTCCTCATTTGGAATGTCTGTTTGCCAGACCCAGGCAGAAAGATTTAAAAGTAGACATTATGGAATTTCCGAATTATAACTTAAAGAGTATGCAAAAAAAGAATCAGATACTTAAATTTTAACCCAGGCTTAAGACAAATCCTGAAAACCTTTGATTTGGGGTTTCTTTTCCAAATATGAAGCAGTATATACTGCACTGATTAAGAGGTCAGAGTGAAGGTGTATTACCTAGGTTGAATCCCGGCTATTTCCACTTGCTGCCTGGTAACCTAAATTACGCTGAGTTAACTCTTTGCTTCACTTTGTCTATAAAATGAGATGCTGTTACTATCTACTTCATATATGTGTTGTGGGGGTTGGGTTAATCATATAAAGCACATAGAGCAATGACATGAAGTGCTGTATGACTCTGGCTATTCTTAGTATCATCATCCACATGCTCCCCCAGATGACGCTAAGGTCAAGATGTCCAAAGCGCAAGCAATATGCTTATAAATTCCATTCCTGGGAACGAGTACTAGGAGCAGGAAGGAGCACATGTGCTTCTTTGACATATGTCATACAGGCTATGTGACTGTAGCAGCCAGGCTCCCTGCTAATGGTTTGAACTGACCTGACTGACATCCCTCTTCCTTTCTCCACCTCTTTTCTATGAACATTCTCCTGAAAGGCACAGTTGATGGGACAACCTTCTCATATTCTCCAGATTAACAGCATTTAATATATGTCTATTTATGTGATCTCTTAAGAAACAAAAATAATTTTAGAAAATCTCATCATTTAAATTCCATTCAGCATTTAAAAAGTAATTTTTGAAATCCTATCCAAATGAAAACTGACATTAACCCTTTACTAAATGGCTATACTGAAATTAAGCTAATACTACAGATGCTATGAATTCAATATGAAACATCAATTACACTTACAAAAATTAATTTCAGATGATCAACATGCAGAGTAAGTTAATTTTTTACATAAAAGAAAATATTGGCATGCTTTACTTTTAGCAAATGTATACTAAACTCACAAAACAGAATTGTTAGAACAGTGGTTCTCAAAGTGTGATGCTCTGACTAGTAGCACCGGCATCACCTGTGTTTTTTGCAAATGCAAATCTGTGGGCCTCACCTGACCAACTAAGAATCCCTGCAGATGTGTGTGGCCCAGAAAACTTTTTTTTAAAATACGAGTGACATGTAACATTGTGTAAATTAAGGCATATAAGATGTTGATTTGATATTTATATACTGCAATATGATTACCGCCATAGCATTAGGTAACACCTCTATCACGTCAAATAATTATCACTTTTTCATTTTAAGAACAGTTAAGATCTAGTCCTTTGGCAACTTTGAAGTGTATAATACAGTACTGTTGCCTAAAACCACTATGCTATGCATTAGCGCTCCAGTACTTATTTGTCTACTGGTTCCAATTTGGTACCCTTGAGCAACGTATCCGCAATTCCCCTAACCCCAGCCTCTGGTGACTACCATTCCATTCTTTGTTTCATACCAGTTCAGTTTTTTTAAGATCAGGAAACTGTTTCAACAAACTCCCCAGGTAATTCTTAAGCACATGATAGTGTGGGAACTACTGCATTAGAATTTCTCTGAAAGCACTTTAAAAAGGAAATCAGCATCATGTTTTTTCAAAAGGTGAACTCATCTAGTGAATAACAAACTGAGTAGATTTATATGCAAGTTACTTAGAAATTCATAAAGCTAAGCCATTTCCACCTCAGGGGCTTTGCACATGGTAGTCCCTCTGCCTTGAAAGCTTGTGGCCCTGTTCTTTGTATGTCTAGCTCTCTTGTCATTCCAGTCTCAGCTCAAAAATCATCTCCTGCATTGACTACACAATGTAATTGCACCCTTCCTTCCCAAAACAACATTATCTTGTAAACTTTATTTTCTTCCTCATATTTATCACTACTTGAAAATTATTTTTATTTCTTATCCGTTTCTACCATTAGAATATACACTGCATGAGAACAGAGAACTTGTCTTATTTGCTACTGACTCCAGCACTTCATATGGTGCCTAGCATACAGTTTTCTAAAAAAAAAAAAGTTTTAAGAATGAATGGATGCTTGCATCGCAGGTGCTCATGCGGCCCACAAAGAAGCAGTGGAAGTTCTTCCTGGGCTGGGAAAAAAAGTGGTTAAAATGACACCATGGCACCGGGTCAATATCAACAATCATGCTTTGTAAAAAAAAA